GCCGAGTATGGGACTTCGCTTGAGTTCATTGCACCCACTAGATGAGATTAAATTGCCTTTTTAATCAAAGAGGAACAAAGCTGAAAAAATAGAAGACTCCTTTGCATGGAGGCTTCAGTGCACTGTGCCCAGGACACATTGGCATTCTGGGCTGCAAATACATGTTACCAGCTGATGTCCGATTTTTCATCCACCAGTATCTCCCAGCCCTTCTCCTCGGGGCTGCTCTCAATCCCTTCATCATTTATACTGCTGACTGCCCTGACCCATGTGCAGGATCTTGCACTTGTCCTTGTTGAACTTTGTGAGGTTCACACTGGCCCCACAAGGTTTTTCCATGCTGGACTTCTGGCAGTGCACAGTGTCCCCATCAGTCAGCAGCAATGCTCAGTGAAGAGGATCTGGCTGCTTGTGTCCATGTGTTTCCTCTCAAGCCTGCACTTGCTTGGTGGGGGAAGAAGGCTCTGAATGTTACTGTTTAGAGGGTTTTTAGGTCTGAGGGAAAAAACCAGTCTTCTTTTCTTGCATGTCTTTCAAAAGCTTTACAGCTACTCTGGTTTGAGACAGTACCTGTAAGGCTGGCAATGTTTGAGTAGTTACTGTGACCACACTAGTGCCTCTTCAAAGTACCTGTTCCTGTTGCTTTTCTTCTCAAGAGGGGAAGAGAAAAGGAGCCTTGTCTGACTTGGAATCTCAGGAGTGACTCCTGCAGAGTGCGAGTGGAGCCAAGCCAAGTTTAAACCAACAAGTTCAACTCTTGATAAAATTATTTGATGAAAATTTCATTGCAAGTTGCAAAAGTGCCTGAGAAGCCATAAATCAGCCTGTGAAGAACTTCTACTGGCCAGAGAGAAGAGCTGGGATGGATGTGTTGACAGCACAGTGCTGATGCTGCTGTGAATTGTAGACATAGCCTTGCTCAGTTTGATCTCTTTGCTGTTGATGCACAACACCCTGTTTCTATGGACATCCTTGGCTCTGTTGCCATTACTCAATGCATCTGTCCCTCTGGCCAGTCCCTGGTCCGTAGGAAAAGTGTCCTTTGTGACACATAAGGATGTCTGGTGGTGGTGACATTCTTCTGTCTCTCTCACTAGTGCAGGTGGAGCTTGCATAAAGAGTTGGCTGCTCCCTGCAGTGTGTGGATGCCATAAACCTTCAGTGTTTGTATCACAGAGTGGTGGGTGGGCAGGTTGTGGCCTGGTCGAAGTGCTGGGCACCACTGAGCAGAGCCTGGCTCCATCCTCTGTGCAGCTTCCCCTCAGGTCCTATAAGGACCTGAGACATGGATGAGATTTCCCTAAACCTTCTCCAGGCTGAACAGTCTCGGCTGTCCTCATGGGAGAAATTCTCCTTTCACTCAGTCATCTTAGGGGCCCTTTTTTGGAGACTCTTCAGTGGGGAGCCCAACACTGGTCACAGCACACCAGGTGTGGCCTCACCACTGCCGGATCAAGGGAAAGGATCACCCCCCTCAGCCTGCTGGTGATACTTCGCCTGATGCAGCCCAGGGTGCAGTGATCCTTCTGCACAGCAAGGACACATTGTTGGCTCATGTTCAACTCAGTGTCCACCTGGACCCCTAGATCCACTCCAGTGACATCTCTGGAAACTTAGGGCTCTGCACTGAGATGCTGAAGCATCCCCACTGCTGGTGAAGCAGCTTTTGTGTCTGTTCTGGGCAGGGATATTTTGAATTAAATGCACAGGATGTTTCCTGGACACTTTTTGGAATGCTACAAGTTGTGCATTAGCATCTGGTGATTTCGTACCCAATAAGGGCTAAAATACATTCTTTGGAAGAATAGCTCTAGCAGGAAGAGAAAATAAAATTAAAATGCTTCTTCTGTCATTTTATAATTGGAAATCACCCTGACCTAAGAGCAAAAATTAAAGAGAAACGTTGATTAGGACGGGTTTGTTCTCATAGTTCACAATGGAGCAGGACTTGCCCACGGACATCAGCACTTCCTGGTATTGGGTCAGGAAGGGGGCTGGGTGCCCAGTGCCCTACCATCCCTGCCAGCCTGCCTTTTTCTTCCCATAAAAATTCACCAGTTTGCCAACAGGTAAGACTTTCCAAGTCCCGGGAAGAGTTAACCTGTAGAGTTTTGAATCTTGCCACCAGCCTTAATAGAGCTGCATAATGGAAAAGATCTGTTATCTTTTTCCATTGATCTTGCTGACATGAATTCATGTTGGTCAGGTAGGTTTTTATATTACCAGATCAATAAATGCCCACATCCAGGATTTCTGTATGGCACATACCTTAGGAGACAAGTAAACCAGATCTTTCCTTTGGTGCCTTTGATCATATACAAGGGTTTTATGCTTAAAAATCAACACTGCATAGCAATTTGTTGTACTTGTATGAGGTTTCAGTACCACACTCATCCCAACCCCACAGATGCACAGAGTACACATGGAGCTTTTTTTACAATACTGGCTCTGCTCAGGCTGCCTGCTGCTCCACTTGGTTTGTTTTGCTGTCCAAACACCAGCTGTTGTAACCTGGGCAACTGAAGCCACTCACAATATTGGTGCAGTTGGACACAAATACGAGGCTGCAGGTGGTCGGTGTTGTTTTGGCACTACAACCAGTCCAGTCTCCACAGTCTCAGTACAATAACCTGGGAATACAGCCCCATCCCATTTTTTATATAAAGCTGGTCAAAACAGAAGCAGTGTAGAGCCTGTTCATGTCTGCTCTCCCTGCAGAGGGTTTGTAAGGCTCTGTTGGGCTTCCAGTCTTGCTTGATTTGTGCCCATCACTAGCACTGGAGTTCTGGAGTTGCTTGCTCTGAGCCACTCTCCATCATATGGAAGTGCCTCAGCTGCACTTTGCCTTTGCTGTTGGTGCTGAAAAGAGAAATTTTCTACATGTGTTGCCCCATTTCCCTTCTGCAGTTTCACTTGAACGGTTCCTTAGCCGAATTCATCCCCAGCTGATCTTTTGGTGTCCAGCAGCCCGAGTTCACCTTTCTCCAGGTGTTCTGAAGTGCTGGTCCTGCCCTTTTCCTGCTGCACTGCTCTTGCCTCTTTCACTGTGATGTCTCTGCTTCCATGTCTGGCACAGCACCTATTCTATGAGTCCCTTTTGCTTTCTTTTGGGTGAAATGAGTGTTTTCTGGGCTCAGGCTTGTAGCAGCCATTTCCCTTGGGTGGGTGACATCAGCTCCTGCTCTGCCTTGTGCTAATTTGAAAGGCCTGGTGCCAAAAGAGCTGTGTAAAATGGAGCTGCCTAGGGCTCTATACCCACAGTCTTCTTCTCCAGCCAGCCCACCAGCAGCTCAGCCCTTCCTAGGAAAGCAGATGCCCTCTTCTCAGAAGGGAGAGGCTGTCCTTTGGAGTCAGCATCCCTCCTTTGGCAGGAGACAGTGGGGGATTTGCTGTCACTGAAGCAGCAGCACCTGTAATGTTGGTGGCACGTGGACCTTCCTGGCAGTTTGCTGTTTGTGTAGCTGAGAAGAGCCTTGCTCATGTGGGAGCAGCCCAAGGCCAAGCTGAGAGGCAGCACTGCCTCTGCCCGTACCAGCATGTGGTGGTTGGCAGCACCTTTGCTGGCCTCTTCTGTTCCCTCAACCTAAATCTTTGGGCTGGAGGCAACTTGGTCATGCAGTTCCTTACTTGTGTTTCACAGGAGGTCATTCCAAGTGGCAGAAAAGCTCTTTTTGGCCTTAAAACCTCTACAGCTCTACAAGCTTTTCCACCAGATATATTTAATTGGAGAATTGCTCCTGACGCTCCTGAGATGGAGAGATTGAGAAGTGGTTTGGGTGTGTAGGATGGAGCAGGGGCCCTTGCCATTCCTTCAGCATGCCCATATCCTAGGGGTTTTTCCTAATTTTATTTCCATGTATTAACATAGAGTTGAGTTGGTTTGTGTTTGCTTTGGTCAGGAAAAATCTGCCTTCTGTAGGATAATAACTTGGAGAATTTGTCCTCTATTTGTTACTTCTTGTATCACAGGAGTGTGCAGAACATTATCCTGTGCCTGGGGCTGCACCTCAGCCCTAGGCAGCACTGCCTGCACAAGCCTGCTGCTCCTCACAGAGGGCTTGGGGGTGGTGTTTAGCCAGGATGAGACACCCAGACTGTTCTGCATGTAGCTTTTGACAGCTGATGCAGTTTGGGCACTCACTGTGGTACAGTCTGTAGGAGATAGGTGTGAGGATGTCATTTCTGGTGAGGGCAGGTCTGAGTCTAATGGTTTAGTATTTCTGCAATAAAGAGTTGCCTCAAGTGCATGAGAGTCTACAGAAATAGCTCATGGAAAGCCTCCTGTCCTCCTCAATGGGGCTAAAATGTTCCAAAAAATGGAAATAACTCGGATCAGTGCATGGCTAAGCTCTCTCTCAGTCTACCATAGGGCAGACACACACTAAAGTATGCTGTGGGGATCCATTTGTCATGCCCAGCAAATCATTGTGAGCAGTTCAATTTACAGATCTCAGGAGAGTTTGATGAAAGAACACGTTATTCTCCTGTGGCAGTTCAGCTTGGTTTGGTTGAACACATATTCTGGTATATTTTACAATTTTCTGCACTTTAATTGTTTAGCTGTAAGATGCAAATCCACAATCTCCCCCCACTCTTAGGTTTATTTTCATTTTCTCTTGTTTAGATGGTATCTCTTGAATGTTGTGTGAAATGTATTCTGTCCTCTGCAGGACAGCCATAAACTGAAGGGATTTTGTTTTAGTCTTACTGTGCCTGCTGGTGTTTCCCTGTGCCTGCAGCCTTCTGGAGAGCCAAATAGTGTGCGAGATTCATTCAGGTTTAGGCATCTAAACTGTAATGTCAGGTGTGAGGTGGACCTCTGCTGTGGATGGAGCAAGTCTTTCTTTGCTAAAATGAATCAAGCTGAATTCCATCCTTCCTGTCAAATGCAGAGATGCAGTGTGTTTCATTGGATTCAAGGGATCTCCGTATGCTCTCTGGATTTGTATTTCTCATTTTTGTCTTGGCAGTAACACAGATTCTTTTCTCTTTCTTTCCAGGGTGACTGTTGGATCTGTATGGAGCTCATGTCTACCTCGTTTGATAAGTTTTACAAATATGTATATAGTGTATTAGATGATGTTATTCCAGAAGAAATCCTAGGCAAAATCACTTTAGCTGTGAGTATTTTGTTAAACCTTTTTGTTGAAGCTAATGTGAAGAGTTCAGATCTGTCACTCCATGTGAAGATCTGGTTGGTTTGTGCAGCAGAACTGCTGCTGCTTTTTGCACCATGCTGTGAATGGTCCTTGAGGGTGCTTGTAACTTTTCCACAGCATACTGCATGGTGGAAAAGCAGGTTCTGGGGTCAGTAATGAGTTCATAAAGAGACCTCAGGACCAGCTTCCTGCTCTGTCTGCTTGAATGTCAGCACCAGCAGCACAGACACCACCCTCCCTGTGCAGGGATTGCTTCGTGTGCACAGGGGAAAGCACTGCTGGAAGCTGTCTCATCCCAAGGAAGGTGCCTAAAAAAAGATGAGCTGTCTCCCTTTTCCTCGTTTGTACAGGGAACAAGGAGTTGGGCATTTTTACCCAGGACAGGTGAACCCCACTAGGCTCTGGTCTCAGTGGGTTTCCCACCTTCACACTCGAGGCACTGGGGAGAGGTTGGTGCCTCTGTGTGGGGGCTGAGGTGTGAAGGGAGAGGAATCCCATCCAGGGTATCCAGGTACAGCCTTACTACACAGAGCCCCCTTTCTTCCTTTAAGAATCCCTGTAAAATACCCCTTGGCTGTGCCAAAATGAACTCTTGGTTGGCTGAACACAAGGGCAAGGTCTGGCCCTGCAAAATAAATGTGTGGTTTGGGTCTGTGGTTTTTGGAGGGTATCCTGAAGGGTGTCCTGCTGTTGCCTGTAAAAATCTGTCAGGTCCACCAGGTTTCTGCAGGGGATGCTGGCCCCTCCAGTCCAGAGAAGACTCTGGCAGCCTCATGCAAAGACTCCCAAAAGCACAGGAGACTCTTCAGCGAGTGGAGAACCTGACTGATGTTTTCAAGTCCTGGCCCAGTAAAAAGTCAAGAAATGGGAACAGTTGTTACCTACTGAAAAAATACAGCATAGAGCTTGAAATAAGTTACTGCTCAGGATAATTAATATCAGAGATTGTTTTGACTTCACCCCTTGTTCCCCTCTCCCAGAGTGGGATCTTTCCAGGTCACGGGGGATGTGTGTTCACTTAAGCACATCCTCTCTCTTATATCACTATCTCTTTGCAGGAGAAGTTCAGAGAAAAATACTTTTATTACATGGCATATTACAGGAGTGATATCTCAACATACGGAATGTTTTTTTCCTCTGTTCTCGGAGCTCCAAAAATTTAATAATCCCAAGGTTCTTAGGACATCTGCTAATTTTTCGTCCGTTTTTCTTTCTTAGACTGTGAAAGCACTAAACCACTTAAAAGAAAACTTGAAAATCATTCACAGAGGTGAGTTCACATCTTTTCTTCTTGTCTATGAAAATAATTGCAAGAATTGTAAACAGCTTTTGCTTCAGTCAAAGTGTGAATAGCACAGGCACTGCCACAAGTCTGTGCAGCTTTTGCACAGGTGTCTCCAGTGCCTGTTCTGTTGCCCCTTCAGCCTTTGCTTTTTCCATATAAGTGTGATTTCAGGGTGGTTGGGCATGGGCATCTGCCTCTACCCCCAGGCACGGGGCATCTCTGGGACTGCCTCCATCTCCTTGTGCTCCTGCTCAGGATCCTCAGCGAGCACATCCAGCGCCAAGGGGTACGGGCCTCAACCCTCTGCAGCTGCTGCTCCTGAAATTGAAACCTCCAGCTGTGACTTACTGCTTTAAATTTCTTTCCCCTGCAGACATCAAACCTTCCAATATTCTTCTGGACAGAAATGGGAATATTAAACTCTGTGACTTTGGCATTAGTGGACAGCTCGTGGACTCCATTGCCAAAACGCGGGATGCGGGGTGCCGGCCGTACATGGCGGTGAGTGGGATCAGCTGCTGTATCTGTGGGATCTGCAGGACCTCACCCCCTCCTGAGGCCTGGCTCAGCATGGCCCTGCCTGTCATCAGCCTGTTTTCCATGGGATTACCCCTTTCCCAGATGGAACCGAGCTCCGGATGGGGCGCTGCTGCTGGCAGTGTCAGCAGAGGTGTCCAGGCTGTGGCAAAGTGACCACATTCCCATTTTTTGCTGGGTTCCTCTGCTGCTGCCAGGGCTGTGGTGCTGGAGTGGAGAGGAGCTCTGTGCCTTCCAGCAGCTCCAAAAAAACCCCAGCACTCAGGGGGAGCAGTGACATTGGAGTGCAGGTTTGTCTTGGTCTGCAAGAAATCCATTTACTCTGGTAAGATTATGTCACCGGAGTTATTGCAGAGCAGAATTACAGTGATTATTGCAAACCTCTTTAATTCCAAAGTGTGCCAGAACTTAATTCCAGAGGAATGTGATTCTGGAGAGCGGCAGGAGTAGAGCAGCTGTGTGGAAATTGCTGGGGCTGAGTCGTGGCTCCTGAGAGTCTGTCCTGCTTGTTTGCTGCCCTCCCCTCCCAGGGAGAAAAGCTGTGGTGGTGAATTTGGAAGCTCTCTGAGGCTTTTAAACACTTCTTCTGTGCTTCAGGCTGCTTTGAAAATGCATCTCTGCTCTCATGTGAGCTGAGGGTACCTTGTTCAGGGAGCTATGTGCCTGCTGCTGTCAATGTAACTTTGATTTCAGTGCCCGTATTTAACTTTTGTTACTTATTTATTTATGCTTTATTCTGTATGCTGAAAAATACTGTCTTACAAACTCTCTTGATCGACCACCAAGGAGAAAAAAAGGAAAATCTCTCTCTTTTAAGGTACAGTGCCCATCTGGCCCAGGTCACAGCTGATGTCCAAGGCAAACCTGTCTGCCCTGACTGATCTGTGTAAGTGCAGAGTCTGGATTGCAGAGCATTTGACCTTTTTCTCTCACTGCCCTTCTAGCAGAGGTAGAAACTCATTGAGCTGAACAGGATAGTACAGGTGAGATCTGTTCTTGGAGATTGATGCTATGGTGCAGCAAAGTCTGCGCAAGCACCAGACCCACAAAATGTGGTGGAAGAGGGCAGTTTGTTAAATAAAGACCTTGTGAGGCTGGAGAGGGGTCAGAGCCATGTCTCTGCTCTCAACACTCTTGACGAGTGTGTGGAACTCCTTGCAGGGAAGAGGCTGGGTTGGAGCTGCCCAGTTTGGTGTGTTGGTGAGGTGTGGGATGCTGAGGGCAGCAGCAAAGAGGGGTGGCCAGGAGGGGTAGGAGCCAGAGCAGACCCGAGGCTGCTTTTGCATCCCAGACTGCAGGCACTTGGACAGCATGGCTTTGTGGGGTTTGGGCTGTCACTGCCTTGCCCCTACACTCTTGAGGTGTGTGTCATATCTGCAGATAGAGCTCTTGAAAAATTGCTGTCACCTTTTCCCCTCCCGAGTTCAGTGAGTGATAATTTCAGGAATTGATGTTCCCCCCTTTTCTTAGAGCCACGGGTAGGTGGTTGGCTCTGCTCCGGCAGTTGGTGTAGTTATACCATGACAGTTCCTGGTGTGTCTGTGTGCTTCCTTTCCCTTGGGCTGTGAGTGGGTGAGTGCTTCTATAGCCCCTTGGTTTTCCTTTCTGCCGTCTGTCTGTCCATATGCACTCTGCTCTTTGTGCAGCTCCATCGCCAGCTCCAGACTTGAGTGGACTTTTAAATGAGCAAAAGTGTTCCAGTTCAGTTTGTGTTTTTCAGACCTTGGCATGGAACAGGGTTTGTGGGACAGCCAGCAGCTGGCAAGCAGTGTGGGAGATGACTGGCCTCTTCCCTGCTGCTCTCTGGCCTCAGTGACTCCTTTCCAACTACATGAGCATTTCCATGTACTGGGAAGCCTGGGAAACAGGGAGATGTCCCCAGTGTGCAGGCACATTTGCCAGCTCTTTCTCCAAGCCAGGAGAGGCTGATGTCTGTAGGAATGCTGTGATCAAAGCTGGATATACCTGGGAAGGAGTCAAGCCACCACATTTCTCTCAAAAGGAAAATAGTATTTTTTTTAGTGTAAAATAGGCCAAGAGCAGTAGCTGTGTTCAGCCGGGGAGGCTCTGTTAAGGGCTGCTGGATGCTTCTTCCTGATGAGAGTGTCTTGTTTTGCAACCCTATAACACTTGCAGTAATTCCTGCAGCACGAGCACTTGCCCCTTGAAAGAACCTGTAACACCTTGTTCACTGGGGCTGGTCCCCAGAGAGTGCTGGTAACAATAACACTGGATTTTGGCCAGTCTGGCTGTGAGCAGCCTGAGGAGGCAGCAGGAGCCATGTCCAGCTGCCAAATAAGTGCCATGGGTTTGAACCAAAAGTGTTGGAGCTGTTCCCAGTGAGCAGCATCTTGGCCTTGGAGCTGCAGTGCTGGGGAGGTTGTTTTGTTTTTGGCTTTCAGTTCCTCTGCAATTGTTACGGTAAGCAAAGGCCCGTTGGTACCTTATGTTTTCTGACACAAAGGCAGGATTGAGTCCCCAGGCAGCCTGTGGCCCCTGGGGCAGCCTCTGGGCCATTCTGAGCCCTCTTCACCCAGATTTGCCCCATGCTGGTGCCAGCGCTGGGGTTTTGCTCCAGGTGAGGTTGGGGTGAGGTTGCTCATGGCCAGCCCTGTGTCCTCCCTGTGTGCTGCTCCCTGTGATCCCTGCCTTGCCTCTGGCTGTGTGGGTGCTGCTGACGGGAGTGGGCTCTGTGTGCCACACTGACACTGGTGGCCTTTGTGACATTACTGCTTTTTGCCTTCCGAACACTCCAGTGAACTCAGTGTCTGTATCAGAGAGGAGAGGGGGGAGACTGGAAGTGCTTGGTTTAAGCAGGGGTGGACCCAGCCAGCATGAGGACCGATGTCCTGCCCTGCCCCACTCCTTTGGGACCTCCAGGGGCAGAGTTTGATGGTGTCACCAGTGTCCTTGGTCACTCAGGTCCTTTTCCCAGGTCACCTGGGTGCCCTGTGCTTTCCCCCCTTCCCAGGGGCTGCCCACTGTGCTCTCCGTGAGGGGGTGGGCAAGGGGATGTGCAGTGCACAGATACAGAGCAGCCCTCTTGGTGCCAGGGCATTACCCATGTCCCAGTGAACACAGTCTGTGTCTCCCTGCCTGTGCAGGAGCAGGGGCCTGTGCACAGCCCTGTCTGTGCTCAGGATGTTTTCCTGCTCCTCACTCTCCTCTGGAGAAGGTAGGCAGTCACTGCTGGCATTGGTGTCAAGGCCCTGTGTTTGGGTGGCTTGGGCAGGGATCAGACTGTGCACAGAAAAAAAAATTACCCAAGGAAGGTGACAGTGACAGCTCTGTCCCCTCTCGCCCTGTGCTCATGGAGGGGAAGGCTGTAGGGATGCAGGAGTTCTCTGTATCCTTTTCCCAACTGGAGCCACAGCCAGAACCTGTTTCAGCTTTGCGTTCCTGACCCAATGCCCAGGTTTCATCGGGCTCAGTCAGTCATTTTTCTGCACAGGCAGGCTGTGGGTTTGAATTCATGCAACTGAAATCCTCTTGGATGTTCCTAAATATTACTGTATGTTGGACATTTTTTTCCTCTTTCCTCTGAAACTTGGAACCCAGCCATAATTTTTTATGACTGAGAAAACAGACCTGGGAGGAGACTGGGGGACATGTGGCCCCACCCCTCTGCGAGCAGGGCGGGCTGGATCCAGGCTTTCCTGCCTGTGGCATAGGGAATGCTGGGGAGATGCCTGAGCTGTGAGCGCAGCTGTCCCCACTGCTGTCACCATGTGCTGCCGCTGTCACCCGCGTGCCTTCAGCTCAGAATGTGACCTCTGCTCACTCATCCACTGGCAGAAATCTGGTTTGCTCTCTGTGAGACTTCTCCTTTCCAGATGTGGCCCCTGCCATCACATGGTGCAGAGCCCATGCTGAGCAGCCCTGCTGCAGTGCTGAGCTTGGGTCTGTGCCTCGGCATTTCACACTCATCCCGCCGGGTACACGGCAGGATGGGATTTCCCTCCTTGCCTGTTTGGATGCTTGGCTGCACAGGCAGTTTGTATCGACCTGGGGAAGCCTGACAGTAGCCACCTGTGTAAGCTGACTGCTTGCCCAGCAGTACTGTGGGCAGGACATGAGGTTTGTGGAGAAGAGTGCTAAAAGTGGGGGAAAAAAACACGTTTTGGCCACTAGGATTTAAGTGGGAATTGCCTGAAAGTCAGATCTGGGAGATAGTTGCCCTCGGGAGGCATGGGATGTTCAGCTGGAAGCAGCTCCTGGGTGCTGCAGGTTTGCTCTGCCTGGGTGGCTGTGCTGGGGTGGCCCAGGGTGGCCCCACAGCCCTGATCAGCTCCCAGAAGGCTGGTTGGAGGCCACAGGCAGCAGAACGGGACCGTCAGGGCAGCAGAGATACCAAGAGGAATGGGCAAGGAACCTTAGGGCAGGGTCAGGTATGGGGAGAGGGAGTGAAGGGCTGTGCAGGTCCCGGGTGTGCAGGTGTGTGTGCAGGTCCTCCCACCCTCCTGGAGCCCATTTGGCCCTCAGCAGTGGAGCAGGCAGGACACAGGGCCATGGCAGGAGCAGGGCACAGCACCTGCTTTGGGACTAGGGACTCCAGTGTTCATGGAATGCAAAAGCTCCTGTTTACCATAATATGGGAAGGATTGGAGTCAGGACTGGATCTGGGGGTGAGGGTTGTGCTTTTCAGGATCAGCCTTTCACAGGTGATGAGGCCAGAAAGAGAGGCATTGGAATGCAGCAGGGGAAGTCTCCTGATCCTGCACCCAGACTGGTTGAACAGAAGAGATCTTTAAGAAACCAGATTATGAGGCTCACACTGTGATGACTGCAGCCTGGCCTTGCCACATGCTGACTCACCTTTGCTGATGGCCATCTGCATGTTACATTTGATTTCTGGTTAGGATGCGTGTGACTTCATCTGTAGACACCTTCTTGGTTCCCTTTCTCTGCTGCATCACAGAATCCTCTAGGATGAGAAGTAGTTCCTTTGCTGTGCTTCCTTCTGG